AAGATTTTTTCAGTGATTCTTTTTTGGTTGTTGAGATAAATGAATATTGTTGGGTGCCTGGGGTAATGGCTAATTAATATAAGTTATCAACTCCACAGTAAACCATTTAAATATGGTGAATTATCTCTCCCCAATGTAATGCATAGGAAATTGAGCTATAAAATTATAAATTAGTTCTGGATATTCTATCAGACTGCAATCTACCATGGTGCAAATTACACAAAATGTCAAATCTGTACATATATAATAGCATCTGTACTTCAAAAAATATGTCAATGTGTATTTCTTTAAATGTCTTTCAAAAGACATTTAAAAGTCAATCAATCATCAATCAATCAACCAACCAATCTTTTCCCCATTTATATTTTTAGCTCCCTCTTTAATCCTGAATAATGCAGGTGGAAGATTTAGCATTTTGAATTTAATATGACAGCTAAACATCTGTGAAGTGAGAAACTGCTGTCACATATTAGATATTGAGGTAATTCTGATCTTTTATGGCAATGATTATTATTTTAGAACTTATACAATATTGTATGTATGCACATTGTGATATTCCCTTTTGGGGAAAATATTATGGAAAGTACAATAAAATATGAAATAAGATCAATCCAGGGTCTGTGTATTACCTGAGTTTTTAGATAAGAACATAACACTATTTGTATCTAAAAGTACATATAATCGTACCTCTAACAACACTAAAAACATACTTTACATATTGATCTGTAAATATCTTAAACAACACACATCCTTGTTTAATTTTATGCTGAAGGCTGAATTATTGACATTCTGTTCATTCTTATATGTGTTTTACATTATTCATTCACTGTTCTCATGAAGATTTAGCAACCAGGTTTTAAATCCATATTTGATATTCTACGGTTCAGACCTATTCATTTAATCAAAGGTATTCTCTCAAACAACAAATGTACAACTAACTTTCTTACCTATACTAATTTCTCAGTGATCTGATAAAAGTGCAAAAATCTCTTCATCATATCATTTTTTTTTGTCCCAAAGTGTTTTTCCCAAAAGGCAACTGGACTTTCTTGGTCATTTTCTTTGAAGGGATTTTGTTTTTCATCCAAAATAACTTCTTCAGTCCCTAGTTAAATCTATTAGAACTGTTCAGTTAGAACTGGAGCAACTTCAAGCTAAGCCTTTTCAAAGAAAACCCCTCAAGAAAGACCAATTGCCTTTTTGAAAAATCACCTTTAGGACAACTATGATCCATAGACAGATTACTCTTTTTCACGTAAAGTCACTCTGTCCTTCAGAAATCAGACATACAATACCTTTCAATGGGAATTATGTATTCCAATAATACGATAAAAATGAAAATGAAACACTATAGAATATTTAATTCCAAAATAACAATGTTAAGAGCTATCTTGCCTTTCATTCACAGGCTCAAGGTAGCATATATCCTCATATTTTTCTTCTAACAACAGCCTCTGTCTTATTCTCTTCATACCAACAGCCCTCATTAGTAGCTTAGCCTAAGAGACCATCTGACCCAGGTCTCCTAGTGAGCTTCTGTGACTGAGGATGAACTTGAACCCTATAGATCTCCTACAGCCAGAATAACATCTTAATTGCTATACCACATTTTGAAGCTCCAACATGAATTCTTGTACAAGACTTTTCATTTATGGATTATACAGGTAGTCTTCAACTTATGACCACAACTGGGTTTGGAATTTTGGTTACTAACCAACGCAGTCATTAAGCAAGTCATCACATGACCAGATCCTATTTTTTTGAACATTTCTATCATTGAAAAATCACGAATAGGAATCATGTGGCCTTAGGACCTTCGTAAAAGGAAACCAATTGCTCAGCTCCCAAATCACAATCATCTGATCCCAGGGTTTGGTGAAATGGTTGAAACTTGTTACAAACTGTAACTCTTTTAAGTCACTTTTTTCAGTACATCTTTCGAATTGTCGTTAAATGAATGGTCTTAAGTTGAGGACTATTATAATCTAAGTGCATTGTCAGAGCCAAGAGAAACTAAGGGAACATACAAAAGACTATGTCTCTTATGTCATCATCAGCCTCCTTCTTTTCCTTTGACATTAAGCAATTCTACAGGAAGAAAATTACAGCAAGCACACACAATGAATATTAATAATAGGGAATAAGTACAGAATCAATCTATTATCCCTTTGAAACTCCAATTAACAGGTTTGGGAGATTAAAATGAACGCTTTAAGCATCACTACCATAAAACATTATTCAGTCAGGCATTTTACTTCTTGCTGCTGAAATACCAACATAAACTTCACTTCACTTAGGCCTACAGGGAGAAGAAGTGCACCAGAGCATTTGCCAATTTCTGAACTTCAGCTGGTTCTAAATTACAGGGTTTCAAAGCAATTTTAAATTATGTAGCAAGACCTCTTCTCTTTAGAGATCAAGTGACCATGAATAAAGAATTTGGAGCAGCAAATTTGTTGCCGCAGTATACAAGCTACACACTTTATACCAGCTCTAAAATTGTGCCCTCAAGACTTAATGTAATTGAAGACCTAACAAATATAATTGCAGGATTTCTTCCTGGAAATCACAAACACTGAGTAGGCCACACATAAGGATTTTATCTTAAAAGATCTGATGCACATTAACATTTGCAAGATCTGCTGATACCAATGTTGCTGATTCAGAAAGAAAAAATGTTTTAGTACAATAAAATAGTGCATTAAGAGAAGTGATTATTGTCCAACAACTCCTAGTCTAGATTAGAAATTTCTCTTCTAGTAAGACTTGTAAAATCAATTATTGCTAAATGGGAAACAATAAAACCAATAGAGAAAGGAATTAAAAAGTGACACATGTTCCATAGGGAATATACTTATGCAGTGAAGCAAAATAGATTAAAACCAGGCAGGAAATGATTATGTAGGAAAATCTTCTTCTAGCTTTATTAAATAATGCTTTAGTTAAATAATTAGAATGTCTATAAATCTCACTTCAAAGCCCAGAAGAATGTTTTAATACTTTTTATTAGGATCAAAGTTAATCTTGTATATGTATATTACCAATAAGCCCAGATGAAATTTAAAAATAGTAGCAGTATGTACACTGCTCAAAAAAATAAAGGGAACACTTAAACAACACAATGTAACTCCAAGTCAATCACACTTCTGTGAAATCAAACTGTCCACTTAGGTAGCAACACTGATTGATAATCAATTTCACATGCTGTTGTGCAAATGGAATAGACAACAGGTGGGAAGCATAGGCAGTTAGCAAGACATCCCCAATAAAGGAGTGGTTCTGTAGGTGGTGACCACAGACCACTTCTCAGTCCCTATGCTTTCTGGCTGATGGTTTGGTCACTTTTGAATGCTGGCAGTGCTTTCACTCTAGTGGTAGCATGAGACGGAGTCTACAACCACACAAGTGGCTCAGGTAGTGCAACTCATCCAGGATGGCACATCAATGTGAGCTGTGGCAAGAAGGTTTGCTGTGTCTGTCAGCGTAGTGTCCAGAGCATGGAGGCGCTACCAGGAGACAGGCCAGTATGTCAGGAGGTGTGGAGGAGGCCATAGGAGGGCAACAACCCAGCATCAGGACTGCTACCTCCGCCTTTGTGCAAGGAGGGACAGGAGGAGCACTGCCAGAGCCCTGCAAAATGACCTCCAGCGGGCCACAAATATGCATGTGGCTGCTCAAATGGTCAGAAACAGACTCCATGAGGGTGGTATGAGGGCCCGACGTCCACAGGTGGGGGTTGTGCTTATAGCCCAACACCGTGCAGGACGTTTGGCATTTGCCAGAGAACACCAAGATTGGCAAATTCGCCAATGGCGCCCTGTGCTCTTCACAGATGAAAGCAGGTTCACACTGAGCACATGTGACAGACGTGACAGACTATGGAGACGCCGTGGAGAATGTTCTGCTGCCTGCAACATCCTCCACCATGACCGGTTTGGCAGTGGGTCAGTAATGGTGTGGGGTGGCATTTCTTTAGGGGGCCGCACAGCCCTCCATGTGCTCGCCAGAGGTATCCTGACTGCCATTAGGTACCGAGATGAGACCCTCAGACCCCTTGTGAGACTATATGCTGGTGCGGTTGGCCCTGGGTTCCTCCTAATGCAAGACAATGCTAGACCTCATGTGGTGGCTGGAGTGTGTCAGCAGTTCCTGCAAGACGAAGGCATTGATGTTCCCCAGACCTGAATCTAATTGAGCATATCTGGGACATCATGTCTCGCTCCATCCACCAACGCCACGTTGTACCACAGACTGTCCAGGAGTTGGGGAATGCTTTAGTCCAGGTGTGGGAGGAGATCCCTCCGGAGACCATCCGCCACCTCATCAGGAGCATGCCCAAGCATTGTAGGGAGGTCATACAGGCACGTGGAGGCCACACACACTACTGAGCCTCATTTTGACTTGTTTTAAGGACATTACATCAAAGTTGGATCAGCCTGTAGTGTTTTTTTCCACTTTAATTTTGAGTGTAACTCCAAATCCAGACCTCCATGGGTTGCTAAATTTGATTTCCATTGATAATTTTTGTGTGATTTTGTTGTCAGCACATTCAACTATGTAATGAACAAAGTATTTAATAAGAATATTTCATTCATTCAGATCTAGGATGTCTTATTTTTGTGTTCCCTTTATTTTTTTGAGCAATGTATGTATGTATGTATGTATGTATGTATGTATGTATGTATATATATGTATGTATTTGTATCCTGCCTTAATTATTTTCCAAAATAACTCAAGGTTGCAAACATACTGTATATGACACACTTTTTTCCTCCTATTTTCTCCCAAAAAAACCTTATGAAGTGAGCTGAGAGACAGTGACTGGCCCAAGGTCACCCTGCTGGCTTTCATGGCTATGGCAGGACTAGAACTCACGGACTCCCATAGCAAACTGGTCTAGATTTTAAATAAACTATAAATAAATATAAATAGATTCAATTTATAATCGATGCAATGTCCTAAAACAAAAATCTTCAGCGATTAAAACATGTAGCACTTACCTCCAATAACTTTAGACTGGCAATTAATAAATTCTGGCTTTTTGTCTGTAAGATACCGTTGACAAGTATGATGGAGAATTTGAAAAAATGTACATTTCTCAGAGGCTGTACTCGCCACCCACTGGTCAAAAGCATTTTCAAACAATAAATCAAATTCTGGGGAATCCTAGAAAGAAACAGATCAGATTATCAGGGAAATACTTTAATATTACAAAGTCTTACTTGCTATATTAGATTTTCTTTAATAACACATTAAAACATTATGCAAAAGTTCATGACCAACTTTTTACAATAATTGTATTATATAATAGTTTTAATTCCATGCTATTATAAAATGCTATTTGAAGACAAATAGATAATTCAATAACCGATGGAAGGCAGCTGTTCTCAATGTAATAATGGAAACAAACATTGAATCTATCTGGCTCTGAAATAATCTGTTGTCAAGTTATAAGAGTATATTTCAGAATGTATCACATGGTCACGCTGCTGGAAGACAGCATGATAAAGAGTCTTATATTATTCTGGATCCCTGAAATATTTTTTGAATTAGTTTCCATAATCTCCAAACATAGATCATACTGACAAGTTATGATGAATGTTTTAGTCTTGAATTTTAGGTTGTCAACATTAGATGCTACTTTCGCTGATCATTTGGAACTCCAGGAATCTGCACTTGAAATGAAATATGTTTCCTGCTAAGAAATTTAGGATAGATAACAAGTCTCTTTGCCTCTTTATAAAAAGATTTGGGACGTTGCCAGAGGAAGGACAGAAAGCTTTGCATGGTAGCAGAATGGAGAAAAAGTCCAGTGATCTTTCTTCTCCAGAAAGCCAGGCTTTGAAACTGGGTAAAAATGTACCGTGTTTCTCCAACAATACGGCCTCCACCAATAGGAAGGCCCAGCATGATTTCTAGGCATGAGGTGAAATTAAGCCCCATCCCCAAAATTTAGACCTATTTAATCCATGCGTTTCCCCGCCATTTCTCACATCGTCCGTTAGAACTACACGAGGTAAAGAGAAATGGGGGGAAGGGTGGGGTGGGGAGAAAACTTGCCTTTAGGAGTGCCCTGCAGGTAGCCTAGGCTGGAATACCCCGATCTACTGATAGAACATCAGCCGATAGAAGCTCCCCGAAGGCAGAGTTCCCAGCTGCTTCGGGGCGAGGCATGGCTGCCCATGTCCCCTCGCCATTAGGCAGTGTCTTTTGGGCAATGGAAGCTCCCCAAGGGCAGTCACCAGCCACTTCGATTGGCCGGTAGAAGCGGCCTCGGGGTGAGCACACACACACACTCCCCTCGCCGCGAGGCCGTTTCTATCGGCCGACGAAAGCTCCCTTGAAGGCAGAGTCCCCAGCCACTTCGGGGCGAGGCGTGGCTGCCCGTGTTCCCTCGCCATTAGGCAGTGTCTTTCAGGTGATGGAAGCTCCCCAAGGGCAGTCACCAGCCACTTCGATCAGCCAGTAGAAGCTGCCCTTGGGGAGCTTCCATCGCCCAAAAGACACTGAGTAATGGTGAGGGGACACAGGCAGCCATGCCTCGCTCCGAAGCGGCTGGGGACTCTGCCTTCAAGGGAGCTTTCGTCGGCCGATAGAAACGGCCTTGTGGAGAGGTACGTGCGTATGGGCCACTCTAGGTGGGGGATGAAATTAAGTCAACCCCGAAAAGACGGCCTAGCCGTTTTTTCAGGGGTCAAAAAAAATAAAAAATAAGGCCTGGCCTTATTTTGTGAGAAACATGGTTGCATCTATCTATCTTTTAGGTCAACCAATCCTTAAAAAAACTACGTTTCTAAAAGTAACTGGTATAAAGGTAAAAGTACGGGAGAGACTGCTTTCCAGATCATTTGTATCTACCTGCCTTCTGGGTATATGGTAAATGTTCATACCCAGTACAATGAATTCTTGCAGAACAAGTCTGTTCCATTGAAACCAAGGTGGGTGAATTGCAGATATTGAGAATCAGAGAGACATGTAAACAGCATGTGAAAGCTTTGTCCAACTTTCAGAATGTTAGTTTAGAGAGCCATAGAAATGATCAAGGAGAGAATTGTAGACTGGAACAAAAATGTGTGTTAAATCCAAGAAACAGAGAAAGAAACTCAGACTGGAGTTTCAATGGGGTGTAATCCCTAATCCAATGGGGTGTAAAGGGAGGAAAAGAAACAGACTGGCTTTCAAGATTCTCTTATGATAGCTGAAATAATTAAAACCTTGGAGTCAGTTTCCTGATAGTCTATTTCTAACTACCTACTAACAGATATTCCTTGTTATGGAGAATCTCTTTGGGAAATGAGGTTATCATTTCAAGGATAAAAGATGTTCCAATAAAGATGTTTGGGTGTCTGCCTGCCTGAGTGTGTGTGTGTGTGCATATGTGTGTGGTGTGTGCATGTGTGTGTGTGTGTGTGCATGCTGTATGTGCCTTGACTGCCTGGACTAGTTCCTGCAGGTTTTTTGGCAAGATTTTTGTAAGTGATTTGCCATTGCCTTCTTCCTAGGACTGATAAGAGAGTGACTAGCCCAAAGTTACGCAGCTGGCTTCGTGCCTTAAGTGAAACATCCTAGTTTCTAGCTTAATGCCTTAACTATAACACTAAACTCTTTCTTCTGATAAGGGGAATCAGATATTTAGGTGATAAGCTCATTTTTGTTCATTTTCTGCTTCCAGAACATTCCTTCGGAGGCAGTGGCAGGCAATTCATCTTTTAATCAAAAACATAAATATGTAAGTTTGCGGGAGGCATGAAGATGACCCTGAAGCTTGCCTGGCTTGTGAAAAAGCTATCACACACTATATATGTAAACCGCTGGATACTGGAGAAAAATGACAATGGTCGAAGTCCATGTTGGTATCAATACCATTGTACAATATAAGTTGGCCAATCTTAGAAGCCAGAACTAGATTGCTTGTTAGCAGGCTGATGTTTGGAACTGTAAATGTAGCATTCTTAAAAATGTTCTTTGTTATAGGGCCAGCTGCAAAGATGAGAAGTTTCAGTAAGTGAGTGACAAAATTGGTATAACAGATTTGCTAAACACTATGAATATTTGAAGACAGGCCAATCCTATATGATAGAGATGGGCTTTGTTGAACCCAAATGAAGTCAACTTGCTGGTCAAAAATGTGACAGAGCAACTTCTAAGCTGACTCTATAGAAAAGATGACAAGTGGTTTCCTTTAAAAGGATTACAACTTTTAGAAAGTATAAATATTTTTGATAATACTACAAGGGATAAAATAAAGTTGGATGGTGGTTAATAAGTGGATATGATTTTCAGGACATGAAAAGGAGACAAAGAGGATGTGAAAAAAGCTCACAGCAACATTATATGAAAAGTACTAAATATATGTGAATGCTTGAAATACATGTGAATTTCTAAAGTCTATAGGAGAATCTGAAAAGAACAGATATAATGGGCACAACATAATGGTTGTACAATGGAGAGAATCAATAGTAAATAGCAGGGGTGTCAAACTCAAGGCCTGCGGCCCGCATCTGTCCTGCAGGGTGCTTACATCTGGCCTGTGGGGCCACCCTGGAAACAGTAAGGGACCGGCCCGCAGTATCTCTGCCAGCAAAAACAGACTCCCTGACCTCCGGTACTCCCAAGCTCTGTTTTTGCTGACAGAGAGTTGCAGGAGGCCATCAAAGCTGAAACGGAGATTGAGAACCCATTTTCGTTGGCATAGCACTCAGGCTGCTATAGGCGCCCCCGACATGAGTGATGTCAAGCAGGCCACACCCACCTCACTCCCCGAGGTCGAACACAACCCTGATGTGGCCCTTAATGAAATCGAGTATAGTATTAATTCCTGGATACAGGCATTATTAAAATGATAAGGAAGGTGCTGTTCTTTTTATGAAGGATATATTAGTTCTGACATAGTATAAAGCAGCAAACTGAAGAACCTAAGGATGTAGAGCAACATTACAGAGTAAGAACTTTTAAAAATATAGACAGAACAGAGAAGCGCCCAGGGAAATTATTAGATAACAACAAAAGGGATTTAAAGTGGCTATGAGAATTGCAAAGAAATGAAGTTAATTTCTATATCCATCTTTTCTATAAATATATAGGACAGATATCAGAGTTTATATTGATTTTCTCAGTGAGGTAATTGGAACAACTAAAGCAAACTGAGGGAACAGTTCTAGGACATCTTGAAAGACAGTTACAAACCACCAGGTTCTGATTGCACTCGATGGAGGGTTTTTAAAGAACTTAGATGTGAAACTATTGATCTTCTAACAGTCAACTTGTACCTTAAATCAAGTCTCAGTACCAGGATAGAAGATCAGTGTAGCAGCAATTTCTAAAGTGACCAGTTAAAATCTTTCAAGCTATAGGCCAGTCATTTTGATATCAATTCTAGACAAATATGTAGAAATGGTAATCAAATTAAAAATAACTAAGCATTTGGAGAATAAAAAATTACTAAAGGAAAATTAGCATGGATTTTGCAAAGGCAAACTCTGTCTCGTTAATATACTTTAGTGCCATTTGTCATTAAATGGAGTAGACATTCTTGAATGTTCAAAAACCTTTCAAAAATTATTTGCCAAGGATCTTGAGTAAACTGGACAGTCAAAGGATTAGAGGATGTATCCTTTTATGGATTACTAACTGGTTAAAAACAGCAAAGAGTAGAAATATGTATTATTAGCTTCTATCCAAATGGTCCATTAGACTAATTGCTTGCTGGATATAATAAAGTGGTAAAATCTACAACGATTTAGAGAAAAAAACAAGAATATCTGGAATCATTACTCAGGATCTTGAAGATTTAGGGCTATCATCTCAAAATATCTATTATAGCACCTATTTTTTTTAAAGTAAAATCAAAGCAACTGCCCCTCTCCCACATATACTAATGACTGAACTGTTCCCAAAAAAGAAAGGATGAAGGCAGTCTGAGTAATCACAAGAAACAACAGACAAGTCAAAGGACCTTGTTAAATTATCATATACTTACCCGATGAGAATCTAAACCATTAACCTGGCGAAGCTGTTCAAGCATCCATTGTGACCTTCGTACAAAAGATGTAGAACCTTCAAATTGTTTAACTTTTGTAATATATGCTTGTGCAGGTCTCTTGTTTGTCACTGTAAATATAAAACAAAAAGGATTGTATAAAAGCATTGCAAATGTCTTTGAGAACTGCATACAAGCTTAAAATAGTCTTGCTTACAGAAGCAACATTTTATCAGTTCAGTTAATCATGACAAATACAGCTAAAAATATAACAATGTAATTTTTATTTGGGGGAACGGATAGAAGTTGGACATAAGTGTTATATTTGTGCATATATTAAACAATTAAATACAATTCTATCTGAATGAACTAATTATGTTTACATAAAATATTTTTCATAGCGCTTTTTATTATATTTGACTCTTATTTTCTGGATTATAAAGTGCTATTTATTGTCTTTATAATTTTAAAACAACTTATAATTAATCACAAATTCATAAAAAAGCTAGTAACATCTTTCATTCTTAACCTCTGTAAGTTTAATAACATGAGGGGAATAAAAAATTAAAAATCTGAATGTTAATGTCTAATGAGTCTCACTATAGAGTCTTCTATAATGAGTTATCATTTCTAAGCTAAAGAAAGAAAACAAAAACACCATTATATTATTTACCTGCATTCGCAATTCTTTGGAAAGCAAAATGTGAGTTCACATTGCAAAATTGTGCCTTTGTGCAAAACCTTAATTGGATTTTTCTAATGCATACAGAATTGGAGAAAGTCTTAGATTCCACCTGTACCCAGAAGCGCAATTAGTCTCCTGCCAAATTCTTTTAACTGCTAAGATTGCTAAAGTACATTTGTACAAAGAGTAAGGTCATTTGAGACTAAGAAGAAGAAAAGGATGGGTTGTGTGAACATCACCATTTGAAAAATTGTAGTTACAGGGAGATAACCAGGTCTTCACCACTGTCTCTTCGACTCACACACTAGCAAGTATGTAGTGAGCTTTATCCTTTTTACAAGGATGGCTGCTTGTCATAATCAGACTCAAGAAAGGACCCCCCTTCCAAATGTTACTTTCTTTGGAAGCACTGGCCAATGGCTGCAGCACTTGTGAATGTTGTGGGCTGAGCCCTTGTTGCTATATGACAAAGGTCTGAGAGGGCACTACTCCTGATAAAATTTGTTAAAGTTGTAGTTGTTAAAGTGTGATAAGTACAGATTGGAAGTGGGCGTGAAGGTTTAACCAGCGCATAGCAAAACATGTTGCTTGTCACCATCCATTTGGAGAAATACTGGCAACATCAGCAGACACTCAAAGAGTGAAGCCATGTTTTCAATGATGTTAAGGGGCTGGGGAAAACAGTATGATGTTCTGATTCAAGTAGAACATTGAAATCGATTCTGGAAAGAAGGGCATATCCGGGCATAGGAATATTTGACTCCTATGAAAAAAACAAAGGAGGTTTTCTTTGTAAGGCACACAAATCTCCAAAGTCACGGTCATCAAGTACTTTTCATAAGCAGTAAATTAGGGAAGTAGTCATAGGTTCAAAAAGCATTAACCAAAAGAACGGAGAAGCTCAAGGGCAGAAGCAGCAAGGGCACTAGGGCAGGGGTGGGATTCAAATTTTTTAACAACCAGTTCTGTGGGCATAGCTTAGCTGGTGGGTGTGGCTTGGTGGTCATGTGACTGGGTGGACGTGGCTTGGTGGTCATGTGACTGGCTGGGCGTGGCCAACTCAATATCACTCACATCGAGGCACGCATCTCCTCGCCTGGCCTCTCATGACTGCGGGGATGCTGCAACAGTCGTAAATGTGAAAAATGGTGATAAGTCACTTTTTTCAGTGCCATTGTAACTTTGAATGGTCACTCCACACAAGCAAAGTACCAGCAAAAGAGGGAAAGAAAACTCCAGAGACATTCCTGAGACAGGAAGTCTAATCCTGCCAAGAATGTAATAAGGGTTAATGGAGAGGCAGTTTCTGTAAGCAACTCCAGAATGTTTCCTTCCTTCCTTCCTTACAGGATTAGGCCAGTAATTTCTTCTAACAACCGGTTCTCCAAACTGCTTAGAATGTTAACAACCGGTTCTACCGAATAGGTGCGAACTGGTAGAATCCCACCCCTGCACTAGGAGATAAAACTCTACTGGTCTTTTTTTTTTAAAAAAAACTCCATTAGTAAGTTAAAAGGAAAAAAAAGTACATCATGATAAAAGAAAAAGAAAAAGATATGCTGCCTCACTTACTACAAAATGTGAAAGAATTGTTATCTCTTACTGATTATTTTCATGTTTCTTGTCATTGTGCAGGATTTCTGAGAAGCCTACCTAACCTTGAAGGGCAGTGGAATTCTCCAAGATGTAATGCTATAAGTTCTGAGTAAAAGTCTTTTCTCTGATGGATGGAAAGGATATTGAAACTGAGAATAGGGTGAACTATAGCTCCTGATGCTTCTAAAGTGTGCTGAGTTGGTTAGACTGATAATGAACAGCCAAGAGGAGAATGGTTCTACTAAAAGAAAAAAAGGAAAGTATCACCAAGAGATGGATAGTTTGTCTCACTCTTGCTACAAAATGGGTATTATCTGTTGGCATGATATTAAAAGATAGATCTTGGGATCTATCGAGGATCATTGCTGAAAGAGGGAGCTCCCATTTATTGGTATTCAACCTGGTATGGTGGAGCTGGTTAGAAAGCGTGCTGCTGCTTCCAGATATAAGGATTTCTAAGAGGAAAATGAAATGACAGATGCAACAATGCCATATTTGTAATGGAAATTGCAAAAGAAGGATGGCCTTTGGGCTGACTTTTTGTTTATATATCAGATTATGTTTATAACTTCCAATATTACTTTGGTAATCTGACCATGAAGAGAATCTATTCAAGAGAAAGGCTTGAAATACTTTCAAACTGCAAGAAACTTGAGTTTATTAATATGTCTTGATGCTTTATGCTTGAACAGGCACATCAGATGCAGAGAGCTTGAACTGAACTTCCCATCTGGATATGTCTGCTTTAGTAGTGAGGACAAACGTCATGTAAGAAGGCATGAACTGAATACCTTACACAAGATTATCTGAAAACAGTACCAAAATTTTTTTTATCTGAAAACAGCTACTGGTGACTCCAGGTGGAACAGAGAAAAAACTATATTATTGGTGTTGCAGCATATCTGAAATATATGAAACAATTCAAGTCATGGTCATCCCTGTGTGTGAGATCTGTCTATCTATCTGTCTATCCGTCCATCCATCCATCCATCCATCCATCCATCCATCCATCCATCCATCC